CACACACACACACACACACACACACACACACACACACACACACACACACACACACACACACACACACGCACTCCCGTCCCCCTATCCATCCCCTCTTCTCGTACAGCGGATGGCTGAGGAAGCCGTGTATCCGCTGAACAAGTCGCTCAACGCGTCGCAGCTGGGCGCCGTCGCGTTTGCGCTCCAAAGGCCAGATATCGCTGTCATCCACGGGCCCCCAGGTCGGAAGTAGTGGTGGTGATGGTGATGGTGATGGTGATGGTGATGGTGATGGTGATGGTGATGGTGATGGTGATGGTGATGGTGGCACTCGTTGTGGCTTGTGTGTGTGTGTGTGTATTGTGTGTGTGTATTGTGTGCTAGCGCCCCTCATGTACACACACACACACACACATACATACACACACATACATACATATGCACCCACGCCCACATCTACACATCTACACAGGCACGGGCAAGACGACGACGGTGGTTGAGCTGATTCTGCAGCTTGTGAAGCGCGGGCAGAAGGTGCTGGTTGCCGCAGCATCGAACATGGCCGTGGACAACCTGGTGGAGCGCCTCATTGCCTTCAACGCAAACGTTGTTCGCATCGGCCATCCATCGCGACTGCTCCACTCCGTGAAGGACCACAGCCTTGACAGTCTTCTCAGCTCTTCCGAGGACATGGACATTGTTCGGTGCGCTTGATGTGACCGTGGGTGATACTTGAAGCGCTGCTTGTAATGTGTTGGAAGTCCCAACGCATGTGTCGGAGGTTCCAACACACACACACACATACACATACACAGACATACATACACACATGCACGTCAGCTCACGATCTCTGTGCTTTCGGCTTCCCTCAGCGGCATTTACGAGGAAATTGCGGACATCCGGAACAAACGTCCGTCAAAGCGCCAACCAGGCGCGCGCGCAGCCCAGTTCCAGGCGCAACGCGACATCAAAGACCTCCGTGCGTGCATGCGTGCGCGCGCATCAGTGGTTGTTCGTTTGTTTGTTCGCTTGTGTGTGTGTATGTGTGTGTGTTCGTGCGTGCGTGTGTTTGCACACTTCGGTCATGTTTCCGGCCTTCTGCATGGCTTCTGACCCTCCAGTGCCCCCTCGTTCGCTTCGCCACCATCAGGGCGCGATGCGCAATCTCGTGAGTCGCGGCTGCTGCGGCAGATGCTCACGTCCGCCGATGTCGTGTGCGGAACAACGACGACCGTCTGCCCCACTGGCGTCCTCAAGAACATCCCCAAAGGTGACCAAACAGCCAACACGGGCTGTCCTGGCTGCTGTTGTTTCGCTGGACATGATTGCTACTCTGCATCAATCATATGTTCGTGTGTGCTTTGGACTCCACATCACCTTGCCAGTCCTGCTCTGCATCCATCTGCCGTGCTCACACCCAGCTGTCACAGGCATCTCCACCACCACGTTCATCCTTATTCACACATGTCCACCATCCCCCTTTCAGAGCACTTTGACGTCGCTGTTGTGGACGAGGCCGGACAGGCGCTGGAGCCTGCAGCGTGGGCGGCCGTCATGCAGGCCCCAAGGTCCCGTGGTGGTGGTGGTGGTGGTAGTGTGGTAGTAGTGGCGGTTTCGTGTGGCCAAGTGGGGAAACAAATCCAGTCATTCCAACCCACTTACACACACACACACACACACACACACTCACACTCACATACACACATACTCACATACACACACACACTCACACACTCACATACACTCCATGTCTTGTTCCCCCAAATTGCGCGCCCTCCACCCCCCTCAAACCACACATGTACACAACACGGAGCAGGTGCGTCCTTGCTGGCGATCATTTCCAACTGCCACCCACGGTCATGTCTGCAGCGGCAGTCGCGTCTGGTCTGCCCATAACACTCCTGGAACGCGCCGTCAACATGTTTGGGGACTCTGTCACACGCATGCTGGACACCCAGGTGCAGCAGCGTGGTCGTTGGAGCTGTTGTTCTCTGCTGCTTTTGGGCTTGGGCTGTGTTGAGCGGGTTGGCGTATCGTTTAGGTTGCTGGCGTCATTGTTGTTGCTGTGCATCGTCTGCGTGGGCGTTCGTGAGGTTCCTTTGGTCCGTGCTGCTCACGTCAATCACTACCGCCGCCACCGCTACGACCACGCCCATGACAACGACCACCGCCACGATGACCTACCTCCGCCATTGTCAGTATCGCATGCACGCTGCGATCCAGTCGTGGTCGTCGGCGCATCTGTACAACTCGCAGCTGCACCCGGCCGACCAGGTCGCCGCGCACCTCCTAACACAGCTCGATGGCGTCACCGATACAGAGGTGCGGACTGTGCTGGCAGTTGTTGGTGGCCAGCATGGTGTCATGTCAATTTCGTGTGCTCGCTCGCGTCTCATTGTACTGGGTGACGTCACAGGTTTTCTTCTGTCTGCTTCACACGCCATAACCAAGTATCACCCACTCACCATCACCAACCACTACCACCAACCACCAACCACCACTTCAGACGACGCGGGTGCCGCTTGTGTATGTGGACACGGCGGGCAGCGGTGCGCACGAGTCATCCGGGGAAGATGATATCTCAAAGTGCAACGAGGTGATGCAAAGGCGCAGCGTGCACTGTTGTGCTGTGTGTGTGTGTATGTGTGTGTGTGTGTGGTAGTTCGTTGTGTGTGTGTGGTAGTTCGTTGTGTGTGTGTGTGTGGTTGTTTGCCACGTTTGTTGTGTGTGCTCTCTTCAGAGCCACCCTCTCACACGCGTTCCGCTTGTTTTGTTGGTACCAGGGCGAGGCAATGATCGTGGTTGAGCACGTGTCCTCTCTTCTGTCTGCTGGCGTTCAACCAAAGGATATTGGCGTCATCACCCCATACAACCTCCAGGTAAATGCACACACACACACACACACACACACACACACACACACACACACACACACACACACAAGAGCTGCGATGAAGGTTGTGCGCGCCGCCCTTGCTTTGCCCATAACACACACACATACACACACACATATACACATATACATACATACACACACAAACATACATACACACACATATACACATATCCATACATACACACACATACACACATTCACACGCACACACACCACAGGTTGAGAAGGTGCGCGGGCTGCTGAGTGCACACAGCGGCGACGCGTCCGGTGTTGAAGTGTCATCTGTGGACGGATTCCAGGTGAGCACACGCTGGTGCTGCTGTTGGCCGTCTCCTCACAGCTGCAGGGCCATAGTGCGCGCTTGTTTGCTCATTTTGCCGCTGTCTTAGTCATTCACCAACACCTGTTGCATGTGTGTGTGTGTGTGTTGTACACGAAGGGTCGGGAGAAAGAGGCGATTGTCATCTCGCTCGTGAGATCGAATGATGAGCGGATTGTTGGATTTCTCAGAGACTTCCGCCGCATCAACGTCGCCGTCACCCGCGCAAGGTGCGCTGGCGCGCGCGCGTGTGTGTCTATTGTGTGTGTGCGTGTGCATGTGCAATATGTGACATGAACCCGATATGTTGTCTCACATCCCCGTGCTGTTGTTGTCACATTACGCTGTTTGCACCAGGCGCCACTTGTGCATTGTGGGCGACAGCAACACCATCACTGCTGACGAGCACATGGATTCCTTGGTCAACTATCTCAACGCGCATGCCGTGGTGCGTACCAGCCTCTCCGATTTGTTTGTTGTCACCTCCAGACATCTTTCTCATTTGTTCCACTCGCTCTCCTGTCACACTCACTGTCTTATCTCCCACACTCACACTCACACTCACACGCACTCTCGCACGCTCACTGCCTTTGTTTCTCTCACTCATGCACGCACACACATTTACCACACACACACACACACACACACACACACACACACACAACACACGTACGCACACATACACGCGCACACGCACGCACGCACGCACGCACGCACGCACGCCACCACCGCAGCTTCGAACAGTGCATGATTACGACGAGGCACTGGCTGTTGTTGGCGGCCAGCAGCAGCAGCAACAGGGCAAGAAGGGCAAGAAGCCGAAGAAGACGAAAGCACAAAAGGAGGCAGGAGAGAAGGGCAAAGCCGCAGATGCGGACAAAGCGGAACAGAATGTGCTGCGACGAGCCCATTTTGAATCGCAGATCACGGCTTTCCTTCGCGGCAAAGCAATCACTCCAAAGACAGCCATCACAACCACAACCACCACCACCACCACCAGCAGCAGCAGCAGCAGCACCGGCACAGCGCGTTCGACCACGGCTGTCGTGGAGGGAGATGCGCTGGTGTTTCCGCCGTCTCTATCGTCATATGAGCGCATGCTCGTGCACGACATCTGCAGCGATCGTGGACTTGAGCACGAGAGTACGGGGGAGGGGCGAGGCAGGCGTGTTGTTGTTCGCCGGCCAATGAAGAAAGGGAAGGGTGATGATGCAGAAGATCAAGGGAAGGAGGCCAGCGCACGTGGTGGTGATGGCGCAAGTGGTGATGTTGACGATGACGATGATGATGCCGTGGTGAAGAGGCGACTGGGCCGAAGAGCGGTGAAGCAGCAGGCGCCGTCGGTGGAAGTAGGGTGTGACCATGTTGGCGACGGTGCTGATGGTGACGATGGCAAGGGCGAGGACGATGGTGCTGTTGCGTCCGCAGGAGCAGCTGGTGCGACCATACGACACATTCTGGGCGGCGATGAAAGTCAGGAGGAACAGAAGGCCACTGGAGAGAGGGGCGTCAAGCAGCAGTCACGTGATGACGAGCTGACAACCAAAGGCAAACAGCAGCAGCAGCAGCAGCAGCAGCAGCAGCAGCAGCAGCAGCAGCAAGGAGAAGGGGAGACGGAGATTCAGCGACTGTTGCGAGAGCGACGGGAGCGATTGCAGGCGGAGCGGGAGGAAAGATTGCAGAAGCAGAAAGAGCAAGCACAGCAGCAGCAGCAGCAGGGCGGGAAGAAGGGGAAGAAGAGCAAGAAGAATCAGCAGAAGAGCAGTGGTAGCTCTCGCGGATACAAGCTTGGTGGTGCATCGTCGTCGTCATCATCGTCATCAACGCCTGCTGCCACTGCACGGCGACGGCAGCAGGTATTTTGTGTGTGTGTGTGTGTGTGTGTGTGTGTGTTTATTGCGCCGTGCGAACACTTGCACTCGGTTGTTTCTCCTTCACTCACATATGAACACACACACACACACACACACACACACACACACACACACACACACACACACACACACACACTCGCGCGCGCGCAGGGCGGTGCTGTGGATGTGGATGCGCTCGCTGCTGCAATTGAGGACCCCAACATGATGCAATCCGACCTGGATCGCATGCTTCCGCACGAGAACCGCGTGCAGCGAAACCCATTTATCGACGCCGCTGCGTACGTGCGTGCAGGCAACATTGAGCGCGGGCCCAAGCGCCATCCAACCAAGGCCGACGTCAAGCGCGACCAACTCAAGAAGTGCGTCCTTCATGCACGTGTGACCGTGTGAACTGTATGGTGCGCACACGATACATTTTCCTCAATTTAATTGATCATGACCTCAGCTGTCAGAGTTTGGACGTTTGTCTCATCAACCCCTTGCCACCCGCCCACACTAAAACAGTACTTCTTTCTCCCTCGCTGACATTTACGTATTCCTGTGCTTGTACTTGTTGTATCCCTTGCTATGTGTATCTGTGTGTGTGTGTGTGTGTGCTTGTGTATCTCAACAACAGGAAACTGCAGCAGAACATTGGCGCCAAGTCCTCCACGCGAAAGCCAAAGGAACCACAGCAGGGAACCAGCAGTGGCACTGGTGGAAGTAGCGGCAGTAGTCGTGGTGGTAAGAGGGGCAGAGGCCGGGGAAGGAGGAGGAAGTGAAGCTGATGGGGAGGTGGATGAAGGTGCCGCGACGATGAAGCAACGTGTCGTAGTTGCGTGTATTTGCAAGGTAGCGAGGAGAGGGAACACAGTCAAAGAGTAACACAGCGACCAACTGTTGGGCACTGTGCTAAATCCAACGCATACATAACTAACGGACGAACGAGCAAGCAGGAACCCGGGTGCAAGGTTGGCGCATAAAACAAACACAGAAAGAGCAAGTAAAAGGGGGGATGGGGGATGGAACCAACAGACATCATCAGGTAGGGAGGGGGTGGAACAGGTGTGGTCGCAACAACAACAACAACAACAACAACAACAACAGCAGCAGCAACAGCAGCAGCAGCAGCATCCAACACTCAGCGTCAACACATAACGATCACCATCTTATCACGACAAGACACAATGGCGAGGAGCGAGGAACACGATTGGCAACACCACGCCATGTTCTTGGAAGCTTTGTTATGAAGCACTTGCGCGTGGGCACTCGACATGACGTCACGCAACATGCGACATTACACACCACAAGTGTGAGAAGTCATACGCTAGACCGTACGACATTCCACGCCACAGGTGTGAGATGTCATACGCTAGACCGTGCGACATTACACGCGCGCAATTTGCAACGAGTGAAGGACATATTTGACGGAGCGCAAAGTCGGGTCCTTTTTCTCCATCAAAAGTGCCTTTTTCTCCAATACTTCGTCTGCCCTTGTAACCCATCCCCCCAGTCCCTCTTGCTGCGCCCGTTTTTGATCTTGTCGCTAACAGTAACTCGCTTCTCTCTCCTCCTTCTTTCTTCCCCAAGGGTAGACATGACGTCGACGGTGCTGTTCGTGGGCGGGGTCATCGAGGACGACGACCACATTGTGTATCGTGTCGATGCTGACAAAAGCGAGACCGCCGAGACGCCGGCGCGTCGAGCGAAGCCGTCGCCATCCCCTTCAGAGGGTGAGGCACTGGAGGTCCGACTCAGGCCCCTTGCCAACCTCATCAGCACGCTGCCGTTGCCAGACCTCAAGGCCTTTGCCAAGGCGGGCCTCACAGGCGATGTTGCGCATGCCCGCACACTTCTCGCAAAGGCGCACGATCCCGCCGTGCATGCCCAGGCTCCGCTGGACGCAGCCCTCGCAGCACTTCGCGCGTGCGCTCTTGAAGCTGACACCGTTGTCACCGTGGGCTCCAGCCTCGTGACCATGCAGTCGCTGGAGCCTGGCCTGGCGAATGAGATGGTGGACGTTCTCTGCACGCGTACCTTGTACACTATCCTCGCGCAGAACCTGCTAGCCGCATACATCAACGTTGTGACGGGCGCTGTCCTGTCCACGAGCGTGTTCCACGCCATGCTCAAGCCGCCAGCGTCACAGTCCAAAGCAGCCGTTCCGCAGAGCCAGCTTGAGGCCCGCGTGACCTTCTTTTTGGCCAAGGACGTCAAGCACGGATCGCAGGGTGCCAAGTTTGCCAAGCATACGCAAGCAGCACTGCACTTTCTCGACGAGGAGGGCTGGCAGATTCCAGCGCGCCTTGTCTTCTACTACGTGAATGAAGAGCCCCTGAAACTACCGCAACTCTTTAGCGGCTGGCGCGACATGGACGCAGGCGTCGCTCAGGCGTGGGCAAGGCATGCGCTGCATCACGTCAAGCCCGCCGCCCTCCAGGCCGGGCTGAAGCAACAAGACGGACTCAGCTTTGCTGTGGCTGACTCACGCACCCGCGTCTTCGTGCTTGCTTCGTGGGATACCACTCTGCATGCAAAGGCCAAGGAAGTGCTGGCCGGCATGCCGTCGCAGACCATGTTGGGCCAGGAATGGTCCGAGGCCGTGGTGCCGCCCGTTCCCTCTGCGCCTGTCGGTCTAGAACGGGCACAAACCGTCTCGTCGTTTCGCGTCCGCAGCCCTCCCGTTCCCAAGCCGGCCCTGAAACCTGCAGAGGCGGCACGGTTGGCGCGGCTGTGCTCCGTGTTGCGCGATTGGAGGGACCGCAACTTCGTGGAGACCACGGGACAACTGGACAGCCGCAGCTACGTTGGCCAGGCGCGAACACTGCTCTTTGAGCGCTTGCGCGAAGTTCCCGACGATGGGCAAGACGCTGCCACCCGGCTGTGCGACATTGGCGTCGCGGAAGGGCCTGTGACCAAGCCTCTGTTCGACATGGTCCGGCTGCTGGACGAAGTGGGCATGTGGGGTGGGAGGTCGCTGGCGCACTGTCTGTGGTCCTTCCTCCTCGCCCTCTGGCGGCCCAGCGTGTTGTTGACCCCGCTGGGTGATTCAGACGACCGCACGCCCATGGAAGTCGGCAGCTGCGTGGAGGTGCATGGCGAAGCCGCAAGCGGGCGCTACGTCAAGGTCTTTGCGGAGACAAGTGAGTCCCTCGGGCGCAAGACAGACGGCAATTTTATCGAAGACGGTATCGATGCCCTGTTGCCTCCCAAGCCTGACGGATGCCTGCGACTCTACCATGCGACGAGCCTTAACAGCGTAACAAACATTGTGAGATGTGGCATTAACCTCAACATGTGCCTCGACACATCCGACTTTGGCAAGGGCTTCTACATGACGCCCAACATCGACTGTGCCGTGCACTTCCTTGTTACGGAGGCGCCCCCGGAAAACCATCATCACCCGCGCGCGCTGCTGGTTGTGGATGTTGACCAGACTGGCGTCGACGCCATGCCAGAGCTGCCAGAGCTGCGCGATGGTGGCGCGATCTGGGAATCAGTGGTCAGCACCATGCGAGGGCAGCTTGCTGACAACGCGGTTGAGCCACTCTCTGACCAGCTGGCTGAGAGGCTTGACGCAGCTTCGGTGCTGGTTGGGCCCCTCACAACACGGCAAGAAGGGCGCCGCCACTTGGGTCCGATGAACGATACTGCAGTCAGCTGGGAGCAACGTGCCTTTGTCAAAAGGCGCTCGTGCCGTCTGGTGGACCCGTCCCGCTATCTTGCTGGGATCGAGGACACGCTAGTCCGGGCTCTTCACGTTGTGCGCTTGCTTCCAGCCTAAGCTGAAGGGGGGGGGGGAGGAGTAAGGGGAAGGGCGCATTAATGACACGGAGAGGCTTTGTTTCACTGAAGGGGCTGGACAGTTCCTTCGACCATGTACGTTCTTACGTTGCACTGTTGGACTACTGTTTGTTGTTTCACTTTGATTGAGATGTGGATGTTGGAGTATGTATACTGATGCATGCGTGGGCAAATGTAACGAGACACCACGAGTCAACACTCGATGACTGGTAATCCATTTGCACGTCACCAAGTCATCGTATTCTTGACTTGGAACGTCGTGTTCTGCATTCTCGGCACCTTGTTCGTGTTAATCGTTGTCATGTATCTGAGTCACCAACAATGCGGTTGTGTTTGAACAGACGCGCATGCGGTTTCAATTATGTGTGTGTGTGTGTGTGTGTGTGTGTGTGTGTGTGTGTGTGTGTGTGTGTGTGTGTGTGTGTGTGTGTGTGTGTGTGTGTGTAGA